ATGACATTACATTCATAAGAATTCCTAAATGGAGAGAAGGGATCTGGAAGGAATTGCTTTTTCTCTGGTGGGTTCATCTGCTGTGCATGCAACCCTGTTCAACAAGCACACGTAGCTTCAAGACTGCTAATAGAACTTGGCAAAGCACCACACTATTAATTGCTCATGCTCACTACTGGCAGCTCAGGAGAGGAGCACGTGCTGCAGGACAACAGGGTCACTTCCAGGCAGGAGTCTTGGTCCAGCCACTGCAACAGCTCCACTCCAACCTCAGAGCTGTTGCCATAAGCTCTGGCATGTTGATTTGCACAGATACACTAATGTCACAGTGAGACACCATCTTGGTCCCCCAAGAAGCACACAATACTGTGGTGCTTTCACTTGGCCAGTACTTGGCTGCGGCCAAACAGAGCCACTCACTCACTCCCCCCACCCCAGGGGACAGGGGAAAGAATTGGGGGCAAGGGTGAGGAGATTCATATGTTGAGATAAAAACCATTTAATAATTGAAAGAAAATAAAACTTAAAATAATAATCATATTTAAAAAATAATTATAATAGTAATAAAATATACAAATGAGTGATATCCAGCTCAATTTCTCACCACTTGCCGACCGAGCCCGGCCCGTTCCCAGATCACGATCCCAGAGGAGCAACAATCCCGAACTGAAACCGCAATCCCGGGAGAGCCAGAGCCCGAGCCAAAGCCAGAGAGAGCAAGAGAGGAAGAGCCCCTCATGGATCTCCTGCCCATGGGGGACAGGAGATGGAACAGCCCCTTGGCAGAGCCCAATGCCCATGGAGCTGATCCATTGCAATATTCCTTGTCCCCTGAGATCTTGCGCTTGCAGAGCAGCAAAACACAAAGTCCTCCAGTGCCAGGGACACAAATGGCAACATGGGGATGTTCTCAGCGTTTCTCTCCTGACAAATCCCAGCTGAACCCAAACCCCAGCGCTGTTCCAGCTGCTGAAAAGAAAACAGCTCTGGCCCAGCTCAATCCAGGACAAGTATAAATAAGTGAGCTTGGTAAAGCACTCTATATTGCACAGAGATTCTCCTCCTCACTCAGCCCAAATTTCCTGACTGCTCTGTGCTTGTTCCTCCACACTTGGCCTGGACAGCTGCAGAGAAGCTGCTGGAGGTAAATGCACCGGAATCCTGTTTTATAAGTTCATACATGGCAATTTGTTGAAGGCTAGGAGAGCACATGAGGGAAGCATGACCGTTTCTCCTGTTTCATATTCTTTGTCAAGCAGTGACTTGGGCCGCCCTTCAAAATAGGATGCCAAGCTCAGCTTGGTGTACTTTTTCACCTAGGAAAAGTGAGACGCATAGGTTGTACCCTTCGTAAAAGTCACAGTCCCAATAACACCCGATGGAGTTTGTACACAAGTGATGGACATCCTCTAGTACCATAGTAGAAAGAGGGAAAAGTTACTATAAAGAAATAAAAGATTCAGTGGAGGGTTAAAGTAACATGACCAAGTGGGGAAACTAGGGATTAGAAAGTGGAACTGCAAAGCAAAACGTTCCTGTGCTAAGAGCGACCAGGCTGTGAGAAATTAAAGAAGATATCACAAAAGAATTACTGTGAGGCCAGGAAAAAGGAAACATGGGGAAAATGGCACAAGCTGCTAGGCTTTAAAAACAGAAGACAATTTTTAGAAGGCATTTGTTGGGCAGTTTTGGGATACACTTCTCTACACAGCTCACTTTTCACTGATACCTCCAAAGTCCTGCTCCCATTGTCTCTGCCTCATTTTCCCCCACTTCTGGCACCCAGTGCTGAAAATAAAAATCAGGCTAGTTTGTGCAAAGGATCAGTTTTGGCCAAGCATCCAGAGCATTCATTAGAGTGCAAAAGTTCTAGCCCCACCTCTGCTGTGGTGTATGCTGTCTTCCTCACCCGTCTTTCATCTCCCTCTTCAATTTTAAATTGCCTAGGGCAGAGTTTACCTCTATGCCCAGAGCTACCTTTGCTGGATCCTGCACAATCTGGGCAGACAAAGACATTTTAGCACCACAAAGCAGTCATAAGTCACTGCACTGTATAATTACTTTTAACTCTGTGCAGTCTGAAACCAATTCTCCTAGGTCCTGCTGCTGGCAGAAAACATCCTGCTGTTGAACATGCATCTGATTACAGTCCTGCTCAGCCAAATATTCTTCATGGTTTCTACAGATGTTCCTTTTTTTTATTCCATAGCTATGAACATTATGAGCCGATGCTCTCTTCACCTGCCACTTTTCTCTGCCAATAAACCCAATAAAAATCTATTAGCTCATGCCCTTAACCTCAGCAAGTCCTAGCTGTGCTGGTCTGCATCTCATCTGGGATATTTTAAGGCTTCAGGAACTCAGCTTAGTGTTATCTTTAAAAATACCTCCCTCCCTGATACAATCAGAGCTTGAGAGGTTTCAAGCAAACAAAACCAGCCAAGCTATCCAATCTCCCTAAGGTTTCCATAAAATTCTCATTCAGTTAACTCTTATATTAAGCTGTTTGCCACTAAGTGCCACAAAGTCACACTGAGATGCAGGCTGGAGCTGCAGGCTCCAGTAAACCAAAACACTGTGACACTTTCTCATATAGAGCAACTTCAACTTGACAGAACTGTGCCAGTTTCCCCCAGAAGACACCTGGGCCTGAGAACACTGACTAGCAACTGTTGAGTTCCCTCAATCAAGGAACAGTTTGAACTCAGGAACAGAGTTTGAGGCCTCTTCCTTCCAGGTCACTGCATCAAACAATCTAAGACTGTACAAAACAAATGGAGAAGTCTTGGTGCAGTGCCAAGGAGAATGAACTCACTTTTCACCTATGCATCGATTCAGGACATGATGAATGCATCAGATCAGAGGATGAGGAACTTATTTGGCCTTTATTCTAATTTTCCACTGTCATTTCGTGGGCACAGGAAGACAGTTTCAAACAAAAAAAGCCCAGGGGTTGTGCAGATCTTTCCTGAAAGCTACTATGAAATTATGATGACAGACACCATAATAAATTACAGCTAGACAAGCAGTCAGCATGCAAAGAGAGAGGAGGAGTCTTCCTCCTCATCCCCACCAACACCAGGTCACAGTGTTTGGGAGTGAGGTAACCCTTGCAAACCATTCCTCCCATTGGCAACACTGGATGTTTTTGTGTCTCAGTGTGTCAGGACACTCTGAGTAGTGGAAAGCTGATGGATGACATTCTTAGCTCTGCGAAGACTTTAGGATGCTTCCAGGAATTAATGCCTTGCTCCAGAGCCAGCCAGCTTTGAGGAAGCTGAGCCGAGAAGCAATTGGGATGCAATGACAGGTCACAGCTAGTGCAGCCTCAGGTAACAGAGGTACCTTTCAAGCTAATGACAAGAAGGGAGCAAGTAGTCTTCTCTGGAGGAAAAAGTAGAACAGCAAATCAAGTGCTGAAAAGACTTTACATAGGAGAGAAAAGAAGGGTAGCATTAATCTGGAATATTGTGTCCAGTTCTGGGCCTCCTGGTTCAAGAGAGACAGGCAACTTCTGGAGAGAGTCCAGCAAAGGCTACAGAGATGATTAAGGGGCTGGAGAATCTTTCTTATGAGGAAAGACTGAGAGAGCTGGGTCTGTTCAGCCTGGAGAAGAGCAGACTGAGAGGGGACCTTATCAATGTTTATAAATATCTAAAGGGTGGGTGTCAAGAGGATGGGGCCAGACTCTTCTCGGTGGCCAGAGACAGGACAAGGGGCAACGGGCACAAGCTGGAACACAGGAGGTTCTGCTTAAACATAAGGAAAAACTTCTTTCCTGTGAGGGTGCCAGAGCCCTGGGACAGGCTGCCCAGAGAGGGTGTGGAGTCTCCATCTCTGAAGATGTTCAAAACCTGCCTGGACACTTTCCTGTGCAACCTGGTGAAGGGAACCTGCTTTGGCAGGGGGGGTTGGACTAGATGATCTCCAGAGGTTCCTTCCAACCCCCACCATCCTATGATTCTGTGAATATCACTTCCCTACTTCACAAAGCTGGCAGGAACAGCAGCTACTATCACCTTCCATTTAGGCTCAGAGTCCTGTCCTGGACTCAGTGCAAACGGGGACATGGAAAGGACAATTGCTGGATAGATATGGAAGCAGAAATGAATGAAGAACAGGCAATTGAGAAAGGACACCTGCACCAAATCTCTAACTTCTGAAGAAGCCCCATAAACCAGTAGGAAGAGTACGAGGTTGGGTGTCAAGACAACCACATGCTTGTCTGAGGTTAGCTCACTTGGAGCAGCTACCTTCAGTACTGTACTTCAGTTCCCCCATCTGTAAATCAGGGGTAGCAGTTTACACATTTCACATACAGCTTCCAATGCTTTTTCTCTTAATGATACAGATTGATTTTAAAGCTCCTCATTAAAAGTTCAAATTAAGCCCAAGATCCAATTATTTAGGCCTTCAGAACTCACACTAAAACACCTTTGTCCTGCAGCTCTTGAAAGTGATTTATAGAAGAAATGGAAAGCAATTTGGGGACACAGAGTAATGATGTCCTTCCACAAAGGAAGTACCGAACCTAGCTCTTCTCCCTTCCCACATAGGTTGCAAATCTGGCCTCTGGTGATCCTAAAACTGAAGTGCTGTGAACATTGACCCAATCAGCCTTGCTTTAGAGATCATCAGCAGCACGAGTCTCTCAATATCTGGTCTGAGGGATGTTCAGAACTTAAAACAAAGCCAGGCCAAGCTACAGCAGGGTGATGTGGGCAATCCTAAATCTCATGAGAGGGGCTTCTGCCATGCTGAGTGGTGGTCTTATAACTCCTATAACTTCCATTATACATTTCCATGCATTTCTTAGCACAAAATGCAACTGCTTGAGAAATCTTCCACTAACTTTTCTCTTGAAGTGAAGTAGCTCCTCCACAAAGTGGAAATTTTCACCCAAATTTTATCTGTGATATGGGATATTCACATTTTAATTAAAAAATGACAGCAGACATGCAACTAAGAATGTTACAGAGTATCAAATCGAAACAGCTTACTGAGAGTAACCGTGTCATTGATCCTGAAACTGCAGAGCACTCTGTCAACATTACGGGCATGTCGAAATCCATTTCCTCTCACGACAACCTGAAACGACTCTGTAGCAAAAGAGACAGCAAAAGAGACAGAGGATTATTCATGGGTAGCGAGGGAAACAACAGTCATTTAGACAAAGCACCTATGTCAAAAGTTTTCATTTGAGATCTCTTGAGCTACAATTTGCAGTTTAACAATTTAAGCTTTAAAAGTGTTAGAAATTGAACTTCTACTCTCTCCTTACCCAATTTCAACTTGAATTTTTAGAAACCTGCGGTGAAAACATTAAGCTTCAGAGACACTGAGCTTTCCCTTCCCGAGGTTGCCATTTTAATGGCAGAAAGTTTTGAGTGAAGCAACACAAAAGTATCTTTCCATGGAAAGGAAAAAAATCTTCCAGTGACAAAAAACACGGAGAAGCTCAAATGCTACTTTCCAAGGTTATGGCAAAATTGTATCAGTTGCCACAAGTTTTGTCAGGTCCTGCCCTACTAACCTGTACAATGATGGTGAATCCTTGGCTGGACTTATTTCCATACAATGATGGGGGATTTAATCAACTGATCAGCTTTCTGGACAGAGGCTATGATCTCAGAGTCCATAATTTCTTTGCTATTCTTCCAGAACAACTCTACAAGGTCACCACAAGTTGTGGTGCAAGCAGAAGGCATCAAGGACAGTCATGTACACCTGAGCGATGAATTGAGCAGTTCTTTTTGGAATAGGCAGAGCCGAGCCATGAGATTATATCCTCACAAGTCTTTCAGACTATTCTCTACTGTCCCTTGTTATTCCCACTACTTGAACCTAGTACTGGGAAAGTTTATGAACTTCCTGCAGACACCAGCATTAAGATTGCCTTGCAAGGAAAGTACCATTTTCAGACCTTTAGACTTTGAAACTGGGCCATAGTCCCAGAAAAGTTCTGGCAGCAGACATAGGGACTCAAACTCTGCAGTTCCCCACGGTGAAGGAAACAGCCCCCACAATTCCGGTTACTATCTAGGAGATGCATTCAGATAATCCCCACTGTTGTTTCACTGGTGAATGTGGTTTGAACACAAAATGTTTCACTGTCCAATACAATACAGGAGTGCAGTGCATCAGAAACACCACCTTGGTTTTAAAATTCCCAGAAGCAACAAGGAACCTAGTTTTTGCAGATTCAGTTTTCCCCTTCCACTTTACAGTCTTCATCTTCTTTCATCTCCCTTAAGGACTCACACACTGTACTTGTCAAAAAAAGCAGATTTGCTCTGGAATCTGGGCTCTCTTCCAGGTCCCACTCGTTTACAGCCAAGTTGCAAATCATCCCATCACATCTAGCCAGGGAAGCTGCCTCGCAGGCCTATTATGTGTTGTCCAAGAGCATTTGGGAAGAAAGGGGGAGAAGAGCTCTGTTCTGGAGTGCGGGGGCTGATGAATACTTAAGAGAAATCACAGAAGTCTCTACTGCTGGGGAATGAAAGTTCAAGTACAGTCAAAGAACAGCATATCAGTGATGTCAGATTAACCACAGGGATCCTGTCTCTGCTTGAAATGAACAGATACAGTACACACCCTGCATGTCTGTACTGATGCAAAACCAAATCATCAAGAAACTCGCGTTTCAGAATGATGTGTTGCTGATGAAATTCATTACTCAAGTGTCTGAGACCAGTCTGCAGTGCAAGAGCAGGCTCAGGTAACATGAAGTCCTATTGTTCTCTCCTTCCAAAAAAGCAAGAAAAATTGCCACCACTCTTCAAGGATGTGCACAGGAGCAAGAAAACATGAAGTATCAGAGCTACACCTGCAAAAATTTATTTCAGAAGACACTAATGCACATAACTTTCATATTCAACGGCACTTTCATTAGTCTCAAAGTCCTAAGTGATGGAATTAGCTGCAGTTCAGGAGCAATGGAGTATTTGCCTAAACTCGGAAATGAGGCCTTGAATTGAGCGTCTAAATAACTGTTAGCATTTTTCAAGGTTAATATTGTTCCTCTTGTGGAGTACTGGCCAAATTCCAATGTGAATGGTTTATATAAAACCCCTCCACATTCCCCCTCAGCTGGCTCTGCTGGATGCAGCTGTACATTACCCCTACATTCTCATTAAGACACAATAAATGGGAGTGATAAGATGTATAAGCAACTGACAAGCACATTAGAAAGCATTAAAGATGGTTATAGTTATAAGTCATTTTCTTGCTTACGACATTGCACAAACATCATTGTTTATCACTTGTGTAAGTATGTAAATATACTTTAAAAAAGTAATCTGTAAGTGTGTTAAGTGGATCTGAACCTTCATCCAATTTCATTTCCTTTCCCAAGCATTTATAGAACATCATTGCACTGAGACTGTCATGACAACAGTCATCTGCCATGCCAAAGTAGACAGAGCCCTGGTTTGGAGCCTTCTTCAACACAGGAACTATTTAATTGGTCAGTCAAAAAGATAAATAGACGCTAAGTACTAGAATTCATGTCAGTTATGCCATCCCGGCTTCAAAAAGCAAAATTACTCTAGTGGCATGCATGGAATGGAAAACTAATGTCTGGTACTTATTGGGCATTGACCTTGGTGTCTTGCATCTGCTAGGAAAGTATGACTACTAATATCCATTTAGATAGAGAGGCAGTAGTTCCAGGAACAGGAGATGCAGGAATGATGATTAAAGCAGCTGGTTTGGAAGTGAAAACAAAGAAGTAATGACAATTGGCTTTCTTATTTTGACTACTGATTTAAGAAAAAGGAAGATGCAGAACTTTTCAGGGACTCATTCTTCTCTACAAACCTTATCTCTGCTCCCAAACTCTCTACTTAATGAGTGGCTACATATTCAACAAACAGTTAGGATACACTTCATAAACTCTGAAGAATTCACAGGAAGCAGATGGAAGAGGCTAAAATGGCTCTCAAGCTTTCTTCGAAAAACACTGGGTTCTGCTGAAAGCAGAAACACTTGCTGGGACTTTAAAGCCAAAGCGTACATAGCACAATCGTATTGGAATGAGCACACAAAGAGGGGCCAGTGCGATTCACACACAAGTCACCTGAACAATGTTTAAATTCTAGTCCTCAGTCACTGTATCAACGCTAAGACATGTTCAAAGAATATTAGAAGCCCTTAGATCAAAGTGTGCTCATTTGACGTTCTTACTGGTTTCTTAAGAAGCCACCCTCAACAATCCTCCGAGATGATGAATTTGCAAAACTCTAAACCTAATTACAAAGTCTTATTTTCTGATTTGGTTTGTAACTTTGCAGCATATCTACTTCAAGTTTGGCATAGTCCAAATAAGACAGACTGATTTGACTGAAAAACAGTCGGGAAAACTGCCAAATTTAAGTCCTTCCTGTAAGAAAATACCATTTGATGACATTTGGCAGAAATGGGAAGTGTGCAAGCTACTGTAAGATGAAAAAGAAATTCACCAAAAAAGCAAAAGGTGTAGGTTCAGGTAAGTAGTTCCTTTTGCACTCTCCAGCAATTAGAGATGGACAGAAAGATGTATTTTAGGCAACATTAACAACCAGGGCCTCAGCTTATACTTACCCCCTGCACATATACTGGAAGGCTCTGCTGCCAGAATTTCTATACAGGATTTCTTCAAAATCTAAGAGACAGAAAAAATGTCATGAAGTATCTCAGACTTGTTTCTATAGAAACACAAATCTGAAAGCATGAGAGAGAGAGAGAGCATGCTTGTTCTCACGTAGCTGCTTAACTCAACATTGTACTTTGCATTCACATAACAATTACGCCATCTTCATTTTTCATGTTAAACCAACCACACCAGTGTCATCGCTCTCCCAAGCTATTGCTATGGAGGAAGGCGACGGATACCAACGCTCTCCAGTACCTCAGCACAAGCTTGCCTTTGTACGTGGTACTGGTTATTATGCAGACTATGAGCCGTAACAACTAAAGTGCACTCGGAAGAGTTAAGTGAGGCAATGTCATTGCCCTCCCTTTGCAGCCACACCTCCCTCTCCAAAATGATTCTGGAGCCTCAGGCTCCAAATAAAACATCACAAGTTTAAGCTAAGCTGTTTACCTTTGCATTAAAACATCCTAAGAATAGCTACACTGCCACTTCTCAAGTCTCAACATAGGGGTTCCAACTTGATCTACGAGAACATACCACAGTGCATCCTCAAAGTTGCACTGTGATTTCAAATCAAGACATACAGACAATTGTTCTTAAGTCAAATTTAAATTAAGCAGCATGTCTTTGTAAGGGTTGGCACTGCCTTTAACCTCTTTACATGTAGACAGTGATTTACACAAACATCAGATTTACACAGCATCAGACTTGGCGGACCGCTTGCAAGGCCTGAGGAGCATGCTAGAGTTGGATACTGTTTATTCCCATACAGTGCTAAAATTGCTTAAGCTGTTGTTTGCATGCAGCAGCCTTTCCCCTGCTCTGAAGACCAACTCAAATTCTTCACTGCACACATTGTGACAGTGTCCGTAAGCCCCTGTGAGGACAGCAGCACTGACTGAGAGCTGTGGGTGTTCAGTGCTGGGCTGAGCAGCCCCTAGACGAGGTAATACTGATCAAAATTTAGGTCAGCTCCAAGAGGCAAGTAAATGTCAGCCAAGCATCATGACTCAAATCCAACATGAAAATTATTTTCCCAACTTTAAATTGAAACATCTGTAAGGAAAGTACACAATAAATTCTGTAAGAAAAAGATAATATATTTTTTCTCTCCACAACCACGGCTCTCTGCCTCAAATATTTAATTGCAAAAGGTACAGATAGAGCCATGATTTATTTTTTTAAAGCTTTTAAACAAAAGTTTGAGTTACTCATAAGCATGGCTGGTAGAGACACAAAAAGTACCAAGGGACTGAAGGAACCAGGACCCTCTGAGCTGCTGGCAGCCTGACAAGTGAGGAGAAAGAAGATTTGCAGGAGCAAGGTTATACAGGAACTGTCAAGTGGAAAAAAAAAAGAGAAAGTCAACAGTTGAGAACAGAAGTGAAAAGCACTAGAAGAATTTGAAAGACAGAATAAGGAAAATACACAAAAAAATAAAGAGGACTGTAAGAACATTCTTCCAAAGTATCCATCTGCAGACATCCATCCATCTCCTGTCAGTCCTCTACTATCTGCCCCTTTCTCAGCCCAGGTTCTGCTTTTCTGAAGATACAGCATTTTTCTCCCAAAGTGACTGCTGGGGCTAATAAGAACAACTAAGAACTGATGGTTTTCCAAGTGTTTTTCCTCTCCACTGAAAAATGTCTCCTTTAAGAAGCGAATTTTTCCAAATTCCCCCTTAGATTCTGTTCCCCTCTCCCTCAGCATCTCCAAATGTTTTAATATACATTTCTTCTCCTCATTGCCTTTCAGCAATGAAGTGAAAGAGAAGTAGGCAAATAAATTTGTGAACAAATGTATGAAAAATACAATAAATACTTTCATTTTTTTTAAGAAATTGGGTAAAACCTCATATGATTAAGTCTGAAATTCATTACTTCGATTCAGTCATTTGCAAACATTTATGCTGTACGCCAACTCGGGGGGCGGGGGAGGGGGGTGGAATAGCAGGTGTCTCAGATGATGCAGAGCTCCCTTCCAGTCCAATCCAATCCATTTATGTGACTATAAAAAGTTGGCCTTAATGGCTTTTTACAGTGCCAACTGCAATATTTTGATTTAGAATAATAAGTTTCCAATGCTCCAAGCACCCACCCTAACTTAAAGTGAAAATTAGGCAGCAGTAACTATTGCAAAAGAATTCCTTTACGTCTCTTCTCCATTATGAAAATGCATTCAAAAAGGACTTAAACATATTAATTGTAGAAGATTTCATCAAATCTGTTTTCTTATTTCCTGAGGGCTGCACAGCCTTGTGTGGGTTGTAGGTGCACTTCATTCACTGCAGGCTGGCTCCCCAGGAGAGCAAAATAACATGCAAGAGTGGTGATGCAATCTCCCAGCTGAGTGTCTATAAACTGCTCCAGCAGCATACATGGGAGGATTGACTCCACATCCTCATTTTTGCAAGGAGAACGACAACAGGTCTGGTTCACTTAGTAACCAACTGCAGGCCTGGCATGGATGCCTTGGCATCCATGCAGAAAAGTATTTGAAGCACGTGCTTGCTCATGGTGAGGACGCATCCCATTGTCTTTCGCAGCACACGCTTAATGACCAAGCTCAGATTCCCAAATCAGTCTCCTGTTGAACTCTATGGGGCTCCAATTATACTCCAGCTTCACACAGGTTCCTGGGAGGATCTCAACAATTAATATTTGTTGACATGACAACACTGCAGAAACATGGCTCTATTTGTCACAGTTATCTCTATCAGGACAGAACTGAATTTAGCACTACCTGTGAGTAACTCAACTTTCTGCCAGGCATTGCGTTAAAGGTCGAGAGCCAGGAGGGGCCCTGCAGGTTACCTTGGTTCTTTTAGAAACAAAGGGAAGAAGGGGAGTGAAATTCTGCAGCTGCTGGAAGCTTTCATTTGGTATTTTGGTCCACAAGCATGCAGACAGATTACTTCACCATAGCAGCTGCATATTTCTTATAAATTTTTTTTCACCAAATCTCGGAATTCTGATTAGCAAACAGGATGCTGAAGTTTAATAGAAGGTTACTGCCTAATCAGTGTTAGTGTGAATGACCTACAGCCTGAGCCTAGGTATTCATTATCAAGCTCTATTGAATTACTAAATAACAAAGTCTGTTGCCAATTACAAAACAGTAATTTATTTATGAAGTGCTTCCTATCCAATAATAAGTACATGAGCTAAGTAAAATAAATATATTTAATTCCTTTTTAAAGATGCATTTGGGGAAAGAAAGAAGTAGAAAGCACAATCATACATTACTAGAAGTAACAAGAAACACTAGACAGTTGAGACTATCAAAGGGGTTCACATCCTCTACTTTTAGATGGCTAAGCTGGCTACCCAAGCCAAGATGCTCGAGTTGTTGACTTTCTCTTTAGCCTATGTAGAAAGCCTGGTTCTGACAGAAGACAGATTGAGAATATCTATGTGAATTTTCTGTTCTGAATTGCCCTCTGGAGATCCCATCCTTCATTACTGGCTGAAGAAGCTTAAAGAGCTCAACTTGATGACCCTGGGCAGTGTACAATGTAAAGCTCAGGCTACAAGTTAGCAGTAAGGCAGACAGCTGACTTAGAAAATTTGTGTACATTACAGATTTTGCACATACAGGACACGTCTTGCAAAGGAAGTAACTTCTTCTCATCTCTCTCACCCATTCATGGAGTCTAAGCCCCTCTCCCTGCACCAGGGAATATACAGTTGATATATTTGGAAGTGAAGTTGGAATAGCTAGCTCAGGAGAAGTATGTAAAAGCATCATCACATTTCTCATTCTTCATCTACTAGACACTCACATCAAGTTCTCACAAAAGTTATCATGCTACACAGACCCAGCACTGCAGTTTGTGTAACTTACTTATTTCCAAGCTAAAATTTCTTGAGGTGATCGACTACATTGAACTGCCATATTAATTCTAAGAGCTGAGGCAAGATCTGAAAAATACTGAGGGTCAGTGGACACCACTGCAAGATGATCCAAAAGGAGTACACAGGAAACTTAAAAGGATTAATCATTTGCATAATTTACACAGATAGGAGTCAATTCCACAAACTAGTTCATACTACTTCCTTTCTTATACACCACAACTGCTTCATGAGCCTTCCTGCAGCTCACTCAGGGAATCTGAGGTCCCTTTCTAAGGGACCTATGATTATGTTTCCATTTGAGATAAGCTCCAAGCTAGTGCTGCTGTTTAACACATGACAAGGGTCCAGGAGTATTGTCATTCCAAGTGACTGCTCTTTCAGTCAGTTTCTGTTGAAGGCTCAACGCAAAGCAATGACCAGATCCTATCCTGACTTTTTTGTTGCTTCGTGTTCCATTGCCTCCAGCACTCCTACCAAAGACATACTTAGCAGTAGATGAAGTTGAGTTTCAGGTTTTCCAAGACTTGCTCCATTTGCTTTAAATTGACAGGTTATGATCTGCAGAAATTTTTCACAGCAAAGAAAAATGTTACAAATTACTTCAGTTCCTTCCATTTGTTTCCCAGCTTATAGCAATCAGATGTCTGCTTTTTGACCAGATTCTTCCCTCCTAGCAAACTCAAAATCTCCATTAAACATGGGGGAAGCTGAAGTTTTAGCAATGGCTTTTTCACGGTGCAGGAGAAAAAGCAATTGGTTTGCTTAATAAAAAAGTCACAGGAGAAAGGGCCAAAACATACAGTGCACTGAATGTCTTCAGCTCCCACTAAGAATCATGATTTTAAGCATGACTTCAACATGGGGCTGTACTTGCAGCTCTTTTAAGCACAGGCTCCAGGGCACAGCCCAAATAGCTTGGTGGTGCTCAGTGTGAGACATTCCTCCTTGGAAAGCAGATCTCCCTGCAGCTGCTAACTCAAAACTTGCTGGCTCTCACAGAAAAGGAAGGGAAGGTGTACTGAAACATTTGCAGACCCACCACCCTAAACATCTTTGCTCAGCAGATGTAGAGGCCCAGTGGAGGCCAGCCTCAAGCTCCACCATTCCCAGCTCCTACCCTCTTCCTCATTCCAGATGGACTTCTAAATCCACCACCTCTGAAAACAAAGAAGGTCAAAAAGGATCTACTCCTTAGGACAAGGGGAGGAGGAAAGAGTCAAGCTGCCTCAGCACAAATACAGAGCCGTTCAAATCAAATCAGTGCACATCAGAAAAAACCCAGGTCTTCACATCACTACAGTGATTTCAAACACTATCCATCTCCTCCAGGCTCATCATTTTATCTTTCCCTTCGCTGTTATATCAACTAGCAGCTAGTAGCCTAATCAATCCCCTCCTTCCAAGGGCTGGTAAATTTTGCACCAGTCAGCTGAAGCAGTTCTTGACTAGGTTCCTGGAGGCTGAAGTCTTCCCATTCTGTTAAGTATAACTGGAAAGGGAGTCAGAGCTGCTCCTGGAATTCATTAAAAACAGCTGCAAAGGGAATGCAGGGCTGGGAAGCAAACTAGGGGTTTTTGTTGTTTTGTTGCTTTCTTAAATGACATGCAACACCTGATTGTCCAAGAAAATTGAGGCAGTAGCCCCACACTTGGACAGTGCCAGGAAAACTAATAAGCAAGGGATTGTATTTCATCTACATGTGAAACCATTAGGGAAAATTGAGCCTGCACTGAGGGAACAGTTTTCCTTGGTACTACATGGTCAGAATAGTGTGTAACTACTGTAAACACAGAAATTGGAGACTCCGCTGGTGAACCTACCCTCCCTAGCTTCAAGTAGTATGTGTCAGCTGTGTTTTATCAACTAAAAAGCCTATACCAAAATGAACAAAACATGTCCTTAAAAGGATTTCCCATTCTTCCTTGTAGCCATGGGAAGGAATCTAATTAGAACAGTTATGGAATACAACTGAGCAAAAGGAACAGAAAAATACTGAAAGTTACCTGAAAACATACTGTTTCCTAGTGAATGCTTGGCACATTTTACACTTACAATGAAAATGGCACACACATCCTCTCATATATTGCCTTTCCTGCTCCATCAAGGGAAGCATTGGTCCTAGGTGAGACAGTATGAGGCCACTCTAAGTTTTAGAGCCTCATGAGGCATCCCCATTTTCCAGTAAAGACCGTGGAGCCATTTGCATGACTTTTATGCCAGCCATGGGAAAGGAATCAATCTATGCCCTTCCCTCTGTCAGCTGAACTGCTCTTATCCCAGCCACTCCAGATCAGGCCAGCTCTTACATGCAGCACTCAAATCCTAGAGGAAATGCCAGGAACTGATCAATGTGAAATTGGAAACCTAGGTCTGGAGAGGGAAAAAAAAAGTAGCCCATTTGTTAGGAGGCCAAACGTAGAAAGCTGAATTTTGGGGATTCTGGCATACATAGGAGGATCCCTTCACCCATTCTAAACAGGTGAGCAGCACAGCACATCCATCAGGATAAAAGGATGCTAATCATGATTGGAGATCAGAGTGCCCTAATACTTCATACAGAATGTGCTCTAACACATCTCTGCTCTCCCACTCTGCAGCACCCATTTTATAAACCATCACTATGTGCCTAGTCCATTCAGTCAGTTACTTCCCATCGAGGAGGAAGACATGCAAAGAAAATATTTGGACTCAAAACTTCCTGTATTGTGACCTGTTGATAAACTCTACCTTGAAGTAGCAGTATTAGTAGGAACAAAGGTCAGTTTCCTTGGACCAAATGTTTAAGTGATTTATTAGCAGTCATCAGGTCCTTGTGAACACAGGAAAACTAAACCTTGAACTGTGCAAGCTAACACAAACTAACACGCACACATGCAAACACATGATTAAAAATACTTACAGAGTCTATGATCCCCTGAAGGGCTTCAAAACCATCATTCACTGGAAAGACATGATCTTTGCTGTCGGCAATTCTAGCCAGCTGACAGAGCGGTAAAAGTAAATAAAACAGAAATGCAAAGAATGAGATAAATTAGCCAGCAGGAAGCAAACTAAGACTTCTCCAGACTCATCCACTTGCAAGTAAAAAACCCCAAATATTCCAAGTACTCTGTATGGATTGCTAGTTGCATTATAATTTGTCAAGCATTGAAAAGTTTCTCTTTTTAGACTGATTGATTTTAGAAAGGTCTATATTGGTAATCAGAAAAGGCTTCCCTTAACTTTGAAGATAAGACAGAATGTCTTTCACGATGCCCAGAGCTTAATGATTTTTATTGCAAAAACTGTCTCCTATATGATTGTAAATCACCCACCACATCAACTCCCCGACCGAAATAGGTCACAGAATCAGCATGACAGGCCACTAATGCAGCAAAACACTGGAGCACACACATCATTTAAACCAGGGAACTAATCAAAATGATTCAGTATTGTCACATATAGAAAAGACTAATGCAAATTATATCCCATGTGGAGATATAGGCCTGCTTCACCTTTCCTGTCAGATTTGACTATTTGTCCTAGGTTCAACCATTAGAGAGCCAAGAAAAAGAAAGCAGGGAGTTATAACAGAAGTTATTCTCCAAGAGGGGCAGGGAAAGGGGAGCAGAAGAACATTGGGAAGCCTACACGCCAAAGCAGAGGGCCATTCATGAGGCAGTGGAAAGAAAAGGGGAACCAGGACATCACCTGTAAAGAGCTATATGCAGATTTACTTGTCAATAGCATGCTAAGAGTTAAGGCAAAAATATAAGCCCAGTTCAGAAGTAATGAACTCTCCATGCATCTGCTGGAGCAGAATCAAGTTTTACTGCTGCAAGGCCAACATTTGTTATAGTAATTCTCTCCCATGGTAGAGGTAACATCAACCCAGCAGGCCTCTTTGGCGTTTCCTGTAGCATTGCAAATTGGAGGCAACAGACTAGCCACACATTCCTCCCTAAACCCCACTGGCTCCACCTTTCCAGCTCATGTCACTCAGAACTCCCACTTCTCAAGCAAAACATTAAACTGCCAGCCTCCTGGTTTGCATCCAGAGAAATACTCCAGGCAGCTTTCCCCTGCCTGCTCTGAGAAAGGTAGTAAAGTAGCTTATTGCTTGTTGACCAGGATACAGCAGCTTCTGTAAACCAGGATGTTTTCAGTTTCAACTCATTCCTCATAGTCCTCCTCCTAGTGCATTCTGGGACTTTAGACACAGTTATCTAACTTCAGCTAATTTCTTCAGCATCTAAATGACTTCAAGTAGCAGCTGTCTTTGAGGACTACTACTTTAGATCTAATCTCTGCCATTTTTATTCCCTCCTTGCTTTTCCTATGACTTACTCTGAGTTACACTAATCTCCGGTTTTGATTCAAAGGAGATTGTTCTAAACCAAGTTTGTTTTGACTCCTTTTTGAATCAGTGTTTGAAGCTTGGTTAGAAAGCTGAAAACCTGGAAAAGCTCTATTCAATAAGTATTTCAGCACTCCACTTAGGGGCTATACAAGTGTCACTCATGTTAAAAAAATATAATGTCAACTGTTACATTTGGTGTGAAATGTAATTGATGGACATACTAACATTCATATGATAAATTTATAAGTCAGTCTATCAAATACGAAAACACAGTAAAATATTAGTGCCACAAATTAATCTGTTTGCTTTTTACAGCATTGTTTTCCTGTGAAAGAAAAGCTGGACTGAAATGGAACTGTTATATGTCAGTATCTTAATTTTTTGGTATTAAAAAAAAAAAAAAAAAGTCCCCACAAATTCCTTCTGCCTGACAGCTTAAGCCAGACTGATCTGCCATTCTTCATGCGTCTTTTCCTCTGCTTTTCTCCACCATTAGCAAGAGGCATTGTGGCATGCAGATAAGAGGGACAGTTCTCTACATGTGGAGATTCAGACAGAAAGGGGCTTAAACCCAACACCCAGACCAAGACACTTCAAGCAGTCACTTTAGACTGTCAAACAGTCAACAAAAGGAGAAGACGACCTCTTGAGAAGCCAAGATTCAAGAGCACGTGTCTATGTTCAACATGCATCTTTGCAAAGTACCTCAGTAAACACAGTGCCTCATTTACCTGGGTCTCATTGAAGTCTTTCACACCAACACAATAGACTGTTGCTCCCAGGTCACGTGACCGATTAGCCTGGAACAAGGAAAGGTAGGTTGACATGGATGCAAATATGATGGGATGCAGGTTTCTGAAAGGTCTTAATCATAAGGTTAGTCTTTCTCTGTACAATGGAGGGGGGGACTTATTGAAAGAGAACTTTAAAAGCTTTCCTCCTTGATTCTGCAGAAATAGGTTTTATCTACTACTAGAGTAGCTGTTTGTTTAGTAAAGCAAAACCCAAGGTATTGGGTTTTGTTTGTTTGTTTTTTAACGTAATCAGTTCACTTTCCTAGCTACTCCAACTTCCTAACATTTGTCTAGTCAACAGATGTAAGAAAGACTAAATCCACTTTCTTTTCATCATTTAGGACACAGTCCAGTGTAATTAGCAACCTAAAATGTTTTGCTATTTTCTATTTCAGACACGTGTGCCCAGACTCATGATATCCATAGGGGAAGAGATATTTCATTCTACCTGTTAGAAAACTGTATCGCTCCCACAATTTACACAGTATCTCAAACTCATAAAGGGAGAACATCCCCAGGTTTTATTTTTCCAGGCTATTTCATTAACATGCAGGTGAAGTTGCATTTACTATTCAAAAAGCAATTGTTCTAAATGCTCTTGCCTGGATAAGCATGAATTAAGTAATTTAAGCATACTTCATTAGAACAGGAACACTTGGCTGAAAACCCATTCCCAGAAAAGATGGTAGGAAGTCAGATTGTGCCAGAAGACTGTAGTAGTTCAAATTGTTAGATAGCAAAATTCTACACTGAGAAACTTAAAACTTCAGTTTCACACTGAACTAACTCACAGGGTAAGAGCTGGGTTCTGGATCTATGTTCTACTAGCTCACTAACTTCCTCCCCAAACCAAAACAAACATAACACATCTGACCTCTTAACTTGTTCATTCACCTCTAAAAACAAACTTGTTTTTCTTGTGGATTTTTTATTTCAGAAGGGAAGAACGGGAGATGAACAGCAAGGAGGGGAACTCTAGATTCATTACAGTTGTTTGTGCTGTAGCAGTATTGGTTTCATTCTACAAAGCCATTCTTTTTATTGTTATTGGATTTAAAGCTACACTTCGGACAGATTGAGAGGAAAAATTCGGTCCATAGCAAATTAATGTAACAATACCATCTTCCAAGTTTAGGTCACCTTAATTTGTTTGACTGACAAGTGAAAATTGGTTCATCTCTTCAGAGATGACTATCAAAAGGACATCAGTAGGAACATTATACAGCAAAGTTTTCAAGTGCTCGACCTACTGTTTATCTAACGTTTTGCATAATATGCTAATTTAATGAGGGTGTTGAGAATACATGCTTAATCTTGGAAACATTTGTGAAAATTTTGGATTTGATCATCTGAAAGGTTTTCTGATGTGACAGAAGATTATAGGAACGTCACCCTCTTTCTGCAGTCTTTACTTTTTGTGAAAGAAGAAAAGTCAAACTGAGAAGGCTCGGGTATTTCCCAGAACAATCCAGTAAATACTGAAATTTTTCAGCTATGAACTAACTATTCCTTGCTCCAGGTTTTTGGGGGTTTTTTTAACTGGGAGCTTAAACCCCTCTCATTTCCTATGAACAGCCTCAGTTTTGATGAGTCAGAAGCATTGCTGCTGTTAATGTTTATCCTTAAGATTCATGTCTAAAGAGCACCAAGGGAAGTTTTGTTACTGGGGAAAATCTTTTCCCTATCTTTTGCCTTCAAAGCAGCAAGCCCAGACACTTCACTGTCTCCCTGGCTAAAAACGTGTAAAACACTTACCTCCCTCTCAGAGTAGAAAAACAGGTCTTCATGGAGTTCTCCATCTGTCAATGCAATGATGACACTTGCAGTTCTGTAACCTAAATACACAAACTTCTTTAGTCCCTTGGTTTTGAGTTGTATTTGTTAAACTAGCCTAGAAAACATCCTTCTAGTACACTTAAAGGACTAGGAACAGTGGACAACAAGCTCATGTCCTTACTTCCTTTTGGCCAACTAGTTTTCAGAAGACATTAATTTCTGCATACTTTTTCCACTCAGGCACCTGCCTTCAATACCAGTTTTAAACCACACTCCTTTGATGTGCCAATGATTTTTAATTGACAGCCTCTCATAACTGCTTCAATATTTCAGACTAGTAGATTAGACTGCAGCCATCAAAAAAAACCAATGCAAAATGTTCCTAGTTTTTTCCTGATTTTATTAATGATGTCAATTCAAGAAATCCAGATATTTTTTTCAGCTTGTGATAAAAAGCTCAATTTGAATTTAAACAGATATGGTAGGAAAAGGGCCTAAAATCTTCAACCTTCCTATGTAACATATTTCAGCAACATAATTAAACCTTGCAGTCTTCCCCTTGTATTGATTTCACAATACAGGTCAGGTTTCACAAGTTTGCATGAGTTTTCAGGAAGAAATATGAATTAATAGAATTAATTCATATTTCTGACCATAGACTTGCCACCTATCTGAAGAAGATATGTAGGTACATCTTGGACAAACACTGATGTGGAAAGATAAAGGCTAAATATGTCAAGGCATGTATTTATCAACCTTTAAGTTTATTCAACCATCTAGGGCATTTTCCTGTCACTACGAGTAGCTGTGCCTTTAACAAGCTGTTGCTGAAGAGACAAAAATCCAAACAAGCAACTTCTTGAATTACTGCAGAGCAGAGATTTGATATCTAATTTTCTTGGTGCCACTTAGAATCCCCAATTTTAAATAACATGGTAATGAAACAATGAGAAAGTCCCCTGTTTGAAAAACAATAAGCAACATTCAGAGTCATTCATGTTGCACATGCCTAACTCAAGTGCCTAGGCTCTTTCTGTAGGACGTGGAGAAAAGTCAGCACTTCTTGTACAAACTGAGGAGCCCAAATGACATCCAGTGATGCCTTTCTCCCTCCATTGACTACTGCAGGAGCCTTAGGACCTACTGCAGGTGGTATAAACACTCCTTTAGTAGAACAAGGACAAAACCACAGAACTAATAAAGACAAAATACACAGGCCAACTTTCAGACTTGAGGACCCAGTTGGCTACTGCTTCTTGCATACGGTGGCAACCTGTTTAGCTGTAGTATGTATGCCAGAATGTAAAAGCATTATCAATCCCAAATCAAATTGTTCTAGCTAATTATTCCATTCTGCTGCAGTCATATTTTACAGGTGCATCCCAAAGCTGTCTGGACATAGTCATTACTTCATTTTATTCATGAATGGCCCGGCAAAATCATTAGAACTGGCTTTGTAGTGAAACATCTGGTTGCCTATGTTTTGGTTTCCAAGAAGGAATTTTAAAATTTCTACTTCAGGCTTTGCAGTGCAGACCATTTTTAGATTAATTACAAGGAAGGAAAGGACAAACAGTCTTGCAATTGTCTGCACTTACTAATGGATTTACTAATTACTTATTGAAAAAAAAACTTTTACTTAACAGCATTTTCACATACTCATGTTTCAGAAGAAAGAAGAAATGGTTACCCAAGTCCTCAAGAAAAAAGAACAAAGTAAGGTACCAGACAGTTTTGGTATGAGTAGGCACCTTCAGTCAGCCTGGACTCTCACTGTTGGCCTGAAATTTCAGCTCTGGATCCTAAAAGCTCCACCTGTTCTTTCTCCTTTTCAGAAACAACTACCCTTCTGAATAGCATTGCATTCCTGTAAGAATAGGAGCCACCTCCCACCTTTCCCACAGTGAAGGTGCATTTTAAATCTATTAAAGCTAGCAGTCAAAAAGAAAGAGGAAAAAAAGACATTCAATGGATCAAGAAAATCTCTCACCGTGAACATTTTCATAGTAAATCTGTTCACTTGCCTGAAATTAAATTAGAAGATTATTAGCAATAAATTAATAATAATACTTTGTGGGCATCTACACATGCACCATAAAGAAAGAGAAGGTGGCAGTGCGGATGTCATGCTTGTAGTCTGCACATAACCTCTGCTTTCACAGATATCTGCTTCACAGAACAAGTTTCTTGCCTATGGCTTTGATTGCATATTCAAGGTCTTATCCAAAGCATAACTCAGTCAAACCAACCCTAAGGCCTTTGGCCAACAGTACTGTAGTCTCCCATTATTCTGTTATCTGAGAATCACATTCAACTTCCTCAGTCCATTGATAAATATTCCCAGCACCTCTAGATCAACTACTCTAATTGTAAATAAAACAACTGCAGAGAGATATTCTTACACTTCTGTCTCCCACTTGATCTATGCTCAAACATGTTCCACAAGTAGAAGGGCAAAGGCTTCAGAATGCATCAGCTCAAAATTAAGAAGGAGGCCACCCTCAACACATTTGGCTTGGGAATTTCATTTCTGGTTTGAATTTTAATTTGGGTTTTTTGTCTTCTGCAAAACTTCTGAAGTCACCAAACTCTGGAATTTGGTTCTGGATTTCTAGTTAAGAGCCAGCATCTCTGTCAGGTCACCTTATTTTCTTTTTGTGTGTGTTCACATGCATTTTCAATAGGCAGACAGTTCCACAATCCTCCCAAATGCATGTGGAGTACAGAAGTGGGAGGAGGTTCAGGAGTTCAGGTTTAGAGAAACTCCTGAGCTTGTAAAACATACAGAAGGAGACGATCCGAGCAGGCAATAACTTCTGCACAGCATTATTTTTTCACCAGTGAGAACAGGCTACAGCCATGTCCCCAGCGCCCATCCAACTCTAATAAGCCCACTATAGCATCCATAGCAGGACTCTTGACAGCTTTCCACCCTTCATGAACATGGTTCCAGGTGGGATTGCAATGCCACAGCCTTCTGCCTTGTCCTAAGCTGAAAAGGCAACTCTCCCCATAAGAGCTGAAGGCAAAAAGAAAGATCAGTGTTAGGGTTTGCAGTTCCTTTGTACCACCTCCAACACTGAAAGCGTACACTTCAGTGTACCTCTTGCATAAAAGGGAAATAGCCCCACTTACCTACCAGAGAATTATTAACCAGATTCCTTTGCTTAACATTCCCTGAGGAGCACCCAGACACAGTTTAGAGGCACTATAGCATGCATCTAGTTACCCTTTCAAATCCTTCGTGCATGTATGTGTCACCTCCTGGAAGGACTTTCTGCAGCTCTTCTAGACCCTGGCGTATCTGCTCCCTGAAATGAATACAGATGCATTGTTAGATCCAAGATCCAGTTTATCAGGAGTTGCTATCCACGTGAAGACACACATGGCAGAAACAGATTCAGAGAGGGGGGAAAAAAGAGTTATCTCAATGTTTATATAGGCTAAGGTAATGTCTGGGTAGATACCTTTCTAAGGATGTGGAAAATAGAGCAGACGTGCTCCCAGTGTTCCCACAGCCCAGGGAGAGCATCGCAAGAGCAACATCTCCTGGGTCAATATCCATACATTTATTTCTAAATAAATATTCCCTGTGGAACCCTAGTCAAACCTCTGATTCAGAAGCAGAGCAGCTGACTTGCACCCAGTTCACTTTCCTCACTTAGGCTTGCTGACTTGACTATACAAATGTAATCAAACAGTCACAAAACCCGACACAATCTCAAACCACCCTGGCAGCTCCAGTTTATTTGGACATTACACTTTCAGTTCCTGTTCAAACTGACTTGAAGATTAAAGCCTTTCCCAATAGCTCATTGTGATTCAAGGTACCCGTTTTAATTTTTTTAGAAATCCCAGGCAAAGTGACAGATCGACTGCAGGCTAAATGAGGTGGGCACTCATTTGTTGTTCCACTGAGGTGCAGACAGCAAACTCTAGAAGCCAAGCACAGGCCAGAAGTCTTTAATACCACGACAAAACCCTGCCATGTGTGGGGGGTACCTCTGAGCAAACTATACAAACTTCATGGGAAAAAGATTAAGTCACTGCATGCAGGACCACACTGACATTGCAAGACCAACTGCCAAAAGTCAGTTTTGTCCCTGCATATTTTAACAACTTCAGAAAATCCAGTTTGTGTGATCATCACATACTCAATCTCACATCTGTGAGGCAATAGGTTGAACTCATTCTGTACCTGCGATATCCCAAACCAGCTAGACACTGAGCCGTATATCATAGGTGGGCTGGGGCAGATATTTCCTCCATTCAGCTGCCCACGCACATACCAAGCCAAAGTTGAATATAAAAATCAAGATCAAAATCTGTGAGCAGAGATATTTTTCAAATGTGAACACTGAAAGACAGCAAAGGTCTTCAAAATATGTCAATCCAGTTCCATTAGATGCACAGTTTTTCCAAAAGGGATGCTAAGCACCCTCAAACTTCACATTCAGATGCTGATACACCACATGGAGGCAAGGGCAAGGTAGAAGAGGTTTTGTCACCACTCCAGTTTCCCTATTAAGGAAGGTCAATGTTAACTAAAGGACCAGAATGAAGCAGCATACACCTTGTTAATCAGTCCTCCAACAAAAACCAGCAGGTCTCCAGTCAGTTGGCTTTAATAGCATAACAATATCCTGTTACCAGGCAACATTTCTAGTACAGCTGGATAAACATGAAATACACTTCCACATAGGCAACACTTAAGTCTCATAGCTTAGAGCCTTCACAGACTAGAGATCTTTGCAATGGGGTGTGCTCATAGGGTGGGATACAGAAAGAGGCAGGGAACAGGTTTTCCTCCAGCACCAAGTCAGATATGGTTCATACTGTTTATACTTGCTGCAGTAAGTGGCAAGAGAAACTTAGTCTGGCTGGGTTTAATGACGTTTTTCAAGGTTGGTGTGTATGTGGACTGCTTTTAGGAAAGTGGTCAGTTTCCTATTCATTCCTCTGTAGTAGCTGCTCTGGTATGCAATTTCACAGACGTCCAATATGTAAAACACATGCTGACTTATACAGCCTTCACATGTGTTACATATAATTTTGCTCCACGTGGCAATGAAGTTAACAGAGGAAGCAAAAGTGATTAAAGGACCTCATCCAGCTCTCCTTGAAGTCAGAGGAAAAAAAAATAATCCATCCCATAGATTTTACTGGGATTTACTTGGGGACCTAAAAGGGGATGACAGGAGCACACTTCAGAAACGTGGCAATCAAACTGTCATTGGCAAAAAATATACACCCTTGCAATCCATCCTAAACACCATTTGCCCTATAACCTACTTTCAGATCTCCAAAGAAATCATGTTCACCTCTACCTCTACTGGCTTTCAAGTTTGTTTCTCTGGGAAGAGAGTTTCACCTATCTGATTGCAGAAAAAACTCCTTAAGGATGTTTCAAAGGCAATAAGGCTCTTGTTCTCTGACAAAAGCCTGAAAGTCTGTGGAACACAGACTTCCTCAATGAAAGCAGTTTGAGTTAAACCCTAATTGCTAACAGAAAGACATTTAGAAGTTAAAATGAAGAAGGCAACATCTACCTTAAGAGGCTTTAATGCATTCTAGCAGAATGAGTGTCATACATGAAAAAAGGCAGGTAATTCAAACAATTAAATTGAGAAGCACAAAGTTTTCACAATACTGCTCACAGTGGACCAGAAATCACTGAGCAAGGAAGGTAAAAGAAGCTATAAGGACACAAAAGCTGCTGTGCACCTTTAAACCTCCTCTTACCTGTCTTCTGTTAATCTCATTAGAATTGTCCCTCTGGTTGAAAAAACAATGAAGGACATCCTCAGTTGAGGGCTGGAGAAGGAGAGAAAAAAAAAAAGACATTATTTTTGGTGGTTCAGACCAAAGCTTACTGTAAGCGTAACACCAAACACACCGGGTGTTCTGACTGCTGTCTAGATTATACTCCACAGGATGAAAGACAGGACTGAGCAGCAAAAGGTGCTTTGCCCTGGGCCTTCCCAGTCAAGGTAAACCATGAGGAATCCTTCTAAAAGATGTAAATAGCACTTGCATCATGACCTTAAGATTGCTAGAGCAAGAAAGGCTTAATTTAGTGCATTCTGGTATCACTATGGAGACGAAGGAAGGCTAATTGTGTTTATCATAACACATTCCACCCACTGCCCTGGGGGATTTTTCATCCAGTGTTAAGGCATTCAGTCCCTAAAAGCTACAGCCACAGGCCTCTCCCTGCAGACCCAAATTTCTGTACCTCAGGCAGGCAGGCAAGCAGCCAGCTACAAGAGTATTCCTGCCCCACAAAAGTATGATTTGATCCATGGAAGTCAGGCAGGAAAAAAGGGAACAATGAGCTTATCTACTCCTATTTCCTGCATGTCAGAAATTTGCAGTCAATGGGATAATCTGAGAAAAGCATTAGGAGCTCGCCCTCCACCAGGTGCCTTGGTAGAAAGCAGCATGTGCTACTTGACTGGGACTGAGAGCACATCTCCTAGCCACTGGCACACACACACCTCCTCATTCTGTTATCTGCAAAGCAGCACTTCTTACCTTATGAACTTGCGGGCCAAATGTTCCACAAAATGATATATTTCATTCCAATGATGCAGGACACTTCCTGATCTAGGGAAACAATTATTACAGGAGATATTAGCTTAATGACTGTTCTCTCAGCCTAATGTTTTGTTACACGCTGTTAAACAAAGTAAAAAGAAATTACTAGCTGAGCAGTCACTGTCCATATTCTTCTTTTAAAGAGATATTAAATTATAAATGACATTTCCTACTTAACTCTGAAAAGCAAGAATAATTTATGCTACATGCCAGTGTTTGAGGCTACACTTGACAATAACATATGGCAGTTACGCTAGACCTTTAGCACAGCCTTAACCAAATAAACCCTATGTGAGTAAAGACCTGTCTCTCTTCACAATATTTTAGATTAATTCCACCAACTCACTTGCCATACCATTATGCAGAGCTTTTAGCTCAAGTATATTTTGAGAAAAAAATGCAGTTAGAGGAACAGATTATTAAACTTTTCTAGTGTTTCCACTGTGCTAGAGACTATGAAAAGTAAAACACTTTAGGTCCACATCTCGATTACTCTGGCTAATTCTTTCACACCCCAGTTACAGGCAAAAACCCCCTAATTTTGCTCCTAAGGAGAATAAACCATGGACTATAACAGGATTTGATTATTATTCTTTATGTTGTAAGAACCAGGAAAAAATAAGGTTAATTAGAATCCTTCAGCACTAAATGCCCCTTTTGGCCTAAACACTTCCATGAACACTGAAATATTAATATTGGAAAAAAATTCCTTCCTAGAGTTGGAAAATAAATGTGTCATCGCTTATTTAATTTATTGACTACAATTAAAGGTATTTAGAGGGGTGTATTGGGTTTGCATGGCAAGGTTTTGGTAGTGGGGGTGGGACATGGGGTGGCTTCTGTGAGAAGCTGCCAGAAACTTCCCCCATGTCTGACCCG